TATATATATATACTCTCAATATATATATATATACTCTCAACTCTCAACAATACTAAATAATAGAATTTCCTTAATTTGTTAAAGCATAAGATTTTAAGTTTTTACTATTACATTTGAAGCGTTAGGTTTTCCTTTTTTTTGTAAATGGATAACGTGGGGGAGGCAAGGTGAAGCACATGACATGACCGAGTCAAGAGTCAACAATTGATATGGGGTTGCAGTGTGTGGGGCGTGCCTCCTGAGCGAAACGTGAGAGCGTATGTCACGTTGTGTTCTGCTTTGTTTGTCAGTGAGTTTCTTTAACAATTACGCGCCTCATCTCTCATCACTTTCCAATAAAACTCAGTTCATGACACAGCGGGGACCTAACATATATAAACAAACCCACACACCACACCTAAGCTGCCATTGTGATTCTTATGCACACACCCCCAACTTTGCGATGCTACTTCTCACTCTCTCGCCTCACCTAACCTAATTAGCAACCTATGGCAAAAGAAAGAAAGAAAGAAAAAAAAAAGTAAATAACTTTTTTGGTACTCAACAAATTTTACGATACCCGCTTTAGTCCCTAGTAAATAAAAAAGTTTATCATGGTCTCTATAAAATTCAAAATGGACTCATTTTAGTCCTTTCAGGGACTAATATAGGTTTTTTTGAATTTGTGAGGGACCACGATTTCAACTAAATGGGTCCATTTTGAATTTTTTAAGAACTAAGATGGCCTTTTTATTTGCTAAGGACTAAAACGGGCGTCGTAAAATTTGCTGAGCACCAAAAAGAGTATTTACTAAAAAAAGAAAAGAAAAGAACAATGTTTGTGAAATTTCATTATTCAGACATTGTCAACAGTACATAGTACATACCCCCTACCCACCACAACCTACCCTCACTTCGTTAATAATTAATGGCCTTTTTTATTTTATATTCCATGTAAATTTCCCTTTTTAGCTTTGCCAAAGTGTGGGTACATTTTTTTCATATTTAAAAAATATTTCACCATCTTTAAATTTTTATTTGTCATATTGAAAATTTTTAATCTTTTGACACATCGAAGATTTATTCACCCAAAGGACATGAGAAAATGGCGTGTGACTATCACGAAACATTAAGGATGTATTGAATTTTTAATACATTTTTCACTCACAATATAATATGTCTTATTTTTTAAATTATTAATAAATAATTTATTTTAAGTTAGACGAGAGAATAATTTGATAAAAAATAAAACATCTGTCATGTTATAAATAAAAAATCTATGGAAAATTCAGTGTATTCGTAGTACTCAAACTTTTTTTCGACTGCAACGCAGGCCATACGCACACTTACACGTCAGGGCGCCACTACCAACCTCGATAATATGTACCCTACCACTGCGCTGTCCAATCATCTTTGATACTTTATTTTAACTGTAATAATACAATAATACATTGAGAAAGAATTCGTTTATAATTTTTTCTTAAATTTTTTTTACAAATTATAATATGTTCTCTCGAAAAAATATGGTGTAATCAGTGTTTTTCTAAAAAAACATAATATAATTTATAAGAGTCTATAAACAAAAAAATTTATAAATATATTCTGTCTCTAATGTATTATACTTTTTTTTAAATTCGTTCGCTGGCGCTCGTGCAACAAGAGAATCCGATTTTCAAACCCTTAAATATAATCTGCGTAATGCGTACGTGCTTTGTTGCCAAGTCAAGGCACAAGATACACTTTACGGTTCCCCTACAATTATTAATAGCACAAACCACAGAAACTCATATGATTATGTGCCTAATTTATCATTTATATTTTAATTCCTCCCATAAAGCACGCCGGAACTGCACACTAGACTGCGTTACAGCTATCATCCACATTACACTATTTCACCTTCAAACAAAACGTGCACGCACGCAGCGTTCAAAAATCAAAAACTAATCTCCCAAGTCTCCCACATTCTTTATTCCTCCATCACTCAATCTAACAATTTTTGTTATCAACCCGGAATTAAAATTGATTAGCTGGTTTGATTCTTGGGCAACATGATGGATAACGGATATGTATTATGTAATTCAATAATAAAATTTTATCAAGATAAGTTGTATCAAAATTTATATATCTCAAATAAAAACAACTTTAATTTTGCACATAAATTTACGTAAACGTAATTCTGTTATGTTAAAATATAAATTATTCCGTCTAATTTTTTCACAGTTGGAAGTTTTGAACTTTCAATGAACAGTCACGTACACATACCATTCATTACAAATATAATACATACACAAATTATTTGGCAAAAAAAAGTACAATTAAAAAAAATTACAAAATAATAACAGTTTAAAACCTATTTATGAATGTGTAACAACCAATTACGTAATAGGGGTGCAGTCCGGCACGACTCACCTAAGGATATGATGTCGAAAGCGCATAGAAAAAATGGCTAAACAGAAAATTATGATTTCATAAAAGAGTAACCCTCTGATTTTCAATTATAATTAGGCTTTAATGTTTATAAAGTGAATGTAGATAAGTAACGACGTCGTTTTGGATTGAAAAATTAAAAAATTATAATGAAAAAGATTATTATAACCGTGAAAAAAATTATAATTACAAAAATACTTTGATTTCTGCCTAAAAACAACGTCGTTTTGGGCTCACTATAGATAAGTTATCTACATTAATTGTAGAAAAGTGAACCCTTATAATTATCAAAATAACAAAATTCAACTCCTAGAATAAGAGTCATAAGCACCCTTTTATAGACTAATTACAAATTGATTCAAAATTTAAAATCTAAAATTCTAAAAATAATAAAACTTCCTAAAATACATATAACACTAATTAACATCTAAAAATAAATAAAAAATTACAAATAAATAATTCAAAATACATCCCAAATCTTTAATCTCAAATCGTGCCAAATATGTTGCTTTTTTTTTCTTCCCAAACAAATCACAATCACATCAACTGTTTTACTGGGACATGGATTCGATTGTAATTTTTATATTTTAAATTATTGTCTCTTTCAACAATTGGGTCATATTTATTAAGCCACAATTCTAGTTGACTACGAGTTTCTTGAATCAATGGTTGGACTTGGACCATGTACAATGGGCCAACTATAAGTTCATCAGGATACGTAGCACAAAAGTTTGGAAGTTTTACCGTAAAACTTGTGAAGACCATAATTTTTGGCTGGGGTGTCCAAATCAGATATTTTTTTATATTTCATGTAACTTTTTGAGATCTACGCGCTGTTAAATACCTGTTTTGTTTTTTCAAAAAAATGTTCCTGTGTGCCCATTTGACATATTTTATATCTGTGAATGATAATTTTAATTCTTATTCTTATTTTTCACTATCCAACATTATCAAATAATCGTGATGGAGAAAGGAGATTATGTAAAGCTTATTCAACTCATTGAAAGTAGATATTGTATCCCAGAATTTTATACACTATTAGGATCTTTGCATTATGAGTAGGATTTGAAGATTATGGATAATTTGTGTAATTTTTTTAATAAATTACGTAGAATAAAAAATATATATCTGATTTGAACATTAGAGCCCAAAGTTATAACTTCCAAAATTGTGTGCCATACCTCAGATGAGCCATGCATGCACCCCTGTCGCCCTTGGATTTGGGTGTCAGGTTGAAATTTTTTTGCCACGTCATCCCCGAGTGAGTCGCACCCAAATTTTGGTGCAACAAGTTGCGCCAATTTCATTGTTATACTTTTGTAAATAGGTTTTAAATTGCTATAATTTCATAATTTTTTTATTTAAATTGCAATATTTTAACTTCTTTTTTTTTGCCCAAATTAGTTACCAAAATTAAGGACACTTACATGAATTAAAAAATTCAAACAAATCGATTAACATTTTTTATATGAACCCTCGAAAAAATTGTAGTTTACATTTTATCCATTTTATTTAATGATAAAAGTAAATAAATGAATAAATATTTCATAGGACTATTTATTTCATACAACAGAGACAAGACAGTGTGATCCATTACTTTTTCAATAAAAAAATAATACATCGCGTTACTATGTCTCTGTTGCATGAATCTCACTATCTTATCTTTGTTGGATGAGATAATTATCTCATGCAACATCCATGAGATAATTATTTCCCATATTTCATATATATTTTCTTAGAAAAAATATTTTCTCAAATTGCATCATATTATAACCCTTTGATTTGTATGCAGAACTTTTTATTTCTTTTTCTCTTTGTAATAAATGTAAAACTCGCAACTAGTTGAGTCACAGCATGAAAATTCAATTCTCGTTAAAAAATCAAACCTCATTTTCCTAAAGCAAATGCAAAAAACATTAGGGTGGTTTTTGGTTGGGGGTATTCTTGAGGATGTGTAAGCAAGTGAAAGTGGGAAAGCAAAACAGTCATGTTTGGTTCACGGTTTCCTTCAATTTCCCCATCTAAGTCATTTGCATAGATTTCAGCATTTTGTGATAGATAGCTAGGAAAATCTAATGTTAGGAAAGGCAATTTGTATGTGATTTTTCAAATATAGCTAGGAAAATGAAGCAAAACACCCCGTAAAGTTTTTCTCCACTAAACAACTTTTTTTAACATTTTTCTATCTATCTCACTTTATCTAACTTTCTTGCCATTTCCCTATCAATTCTATTTCCCTAATATTCAAAAAAATTCTCCATTAACCAAACGCCCCCTAGTTGCAGTTTACTAAATACCCATCTATCTTTCTGATTTTATCAATTTTTTTCTTTTCTTAATCATAAATTTCTCACAGAAACTTCAATACTAAACAACAATAACTAACAGTAATAGGTTGCCACTTGCCAGCTATCTATTGACAAACCGACACATTCAAAGATTACCGGTACTTACAGTTCAAATTACTCAAAAGATACACGAAAAACAAAAAGGAAAAAAGAGAGTATAAACACATGAGTGACTGATGGGTCACAGCAATAGTGCTGCTGAGAATTAAAAAATAAAAGAAAAAGCTTTTTCTTGATTTCCCATAATTGACGAAAAAAACGGAGAGAAAATCAATGAAAAGCCACACGTGAATACAAAGCGCCCACTCTAACACTCTCATCCCTGTACAGCCTGTAAATTGTTTGTTAGTTAGAAAAATGCCTCACTCCAACAACCCCATTAAAAAAAAAATTTAAAAAAAACGTCAGGGGCAAAAGCATGAAACGACAGAGAGAAAACTGCGGAATCAGCCAAGCAAATCCTGCTGTTGGCAGAGCTCCTTCCTCAACCGTTGAGAGAAAAGCCTGCAAGCATCCACGCTAAGATCAACGGCAGCGGCTAAAGCCACAAATGCCGCCGCATCTTCCGCGCAGTTCACGTGTGGCACGCTCACTTCCACCGTAGGCTTGCTGCACCTTCCCTCACCCTCAACGCTCGCCGACATCACGAAACCTCTGTACATACAATACGGCCAAAGCCCGTAACCATAATCACCGCTGCTTCTCGGACTGCACACAGGCGACGTCGCGCTCCCCGGCGTTGCGCGGCCGTTTGATCCTCCTCCGCCGGCGCAGGCTGCGCCGCGGCTGCTCAAGTCGATCACGAATTTTCCTCCTTTGTTAGTGCTCAGCGTGGACTCGGAGAGGACTATACCGGCAGCGCTCATGCCGCCGTTGGTGTCCGGTACGAGCTCGAAGCGGTAACCAAGGCCGTCGGAACCGCCGCGTTCGCGCCAGGCCTCGAGTCTCCCCCAGGGCTTCCAGGTGCCATCGCCCGGGCGAAGAATGAGCCAGGAGCCAGGGTTGGAGCTGCTGACCCGGTCTGAACCGGGTGAAGCAACGAAAGGCGTGACCATAGAAGCTGCCGCTACCGGCGATCCTGAAAGATCATGAACCGTTATGGACCATCCTTTACGTTCTTTCCCCGGGCGCTCGCGCTCACTTCCAAACGAGCTTAACCAGCTTCTAGAATTACCAGGCTCTGACTGTAACGACCTGTACGAAACAGAATAACCGTAACGTTAACAAGCACTCAACAGAAACGGTTATTCGAATCCCCGAAAACAACTTTCAAAACCAACTAACTCAGAATTGAGGGTAACTCACAAGCAACCGCATTCAAATTATTAACATACTATCGAGATATTCAATTCTACTTCAGATTTCTTTTCTCCTTGTCTATAAAGAGTAAAGTGCGTGTAATGTGTACAAATAGTAGTAATTTGCTAAAACAGAACGGTATTCGCTTTCTGCTAATTTTTGGAATCTAGCCTAAAACATAATCTAAGCTAGGCTAAATGATTAATATGAAAAATGAAGTGAACGGACCTGGAAAGCTGATTCCGGTCACCGGTGTTTCTGAAACTGAACTTGCAGGTGAAGACCGGTTGCGAAATGTTGCCTTGGATCTGGAAAACTTGGGGGCTGCACTCTGGTTCGCCATCGAACTGGAACACGAATCTGGGATCAGGTTCGGCCTTCACATTCAGATGAAACTGTGCGGAAGAGCGTTTGGCTTCCTTTCCCACCGTAATCCACCCATTGTGGAACACTGTAGTCTTCGATACCGTTCCCGCCAGATCCAACGGCACGGAAACTTTTCCCAGCAGCCTCCCGGAGTTGACGCCGCAGGTAGTGCCCCTCCGGCCAGTGTAGATCGATATTTTCAAGCAGAGCTTCCCGGCGAAGATGGATTTTCCGGCGAGTCTGTCAAGATCGGACTTGCTAAGGTGGAAGGTGGCAGCGATAGGCTGCACCTGAGAGTCATGGAAGTTGCTATCAGGAGGGATGAAGGGAACGACAGCGGATTGAAGAGGGAAGTTCTTGAGTTTGATCTTGCAGAAACATGGAGAGGAAGAAGGGTGAACGACGGAGCGAGCGGGCTTGGAAGCAACAGGAATCTTGAGGGCGAGGTTACCGACGGTGAGGCGCACGAAAGGGCAAGGATCCATGGCGGAGCAAACAAGTTTGGGTTTGCGAGAAAACAAGGAATAATGCTACTGCGTGAGGAGGTACGCATGTAGCGGAAGCAACATCACGTTGTTGTTGTTGTTGTTGTTGTTGGCGTTGGAGTTGAGTGGTGGGTTCATGTGATAAGAGTAGAGTAGCTGCGTTTTGGTTAACCTAAAAGAAGTAAGCAAGCGTTTTTGTGTTAGTGTTGTGGGTGCGGGTGGAAGAATTGAAATAGTTGAGTTGAGATTGAAAAGGTAAGAAGAAGATAAAAGGGGATAAACAGGGGGTGGGATACAGCTGGGTACAGGGTGTCGCTAGTCTAGTGGCTGGGGAACCCCGGTTGGCGGTATCTATTGTGAGGTGAGGTCCCTCCCTCCCTCCTGCTATGCACTTTAGTGGGTTCCACTCTTTCTGATATCAGCATTGCTATGCTACTGTTACCACTCTTAGGACACAGCCCTTTGGATTTATTACTACTTTTATCTTTTACTAATTCAGTTCATCTAAATTCTCGCAATTACCCCTTCACTTTCTCTTATCCGTAGGGTAGGGACTAGTGAGTGCAGTGGTGAGGATGCATGAAGGGCATCTGCCACACCACACGTGGAGTTGCTCTTCACTCAACCTGTGTACATTTAATAACATCTATTCATTGTATATAGGGAGGGGATGGGAATTTTCTTGATTTGTAACTCAGTTTTTTTCGTTATTTTTAATGAGGAGAGAAAATATAACTTTATTGCTAATATTATTTATTATTGTTGTTTTTTTATAATTTATTTTTAAAAATATTTTCTTATAAAAAAGTTGTTCCCTTCTATTAATGATCTTTTGACTTTCGTATAATATTTTTTTTAATAGATATAGGTCTATACAATATGTGTCTATACTCTATACCCTATAGTATAAGATACTTATTTTTTACTAAATAAGAAAATCAAAACCCTTTATTTTATATTAAAATCATGTACAAATTTTTTTCAATACATAAATTTTTTAAAATTACACTATATAAATTACAACACGTTTTTTGGGGAGATATTTATAACATATTATTTAACAATTTTTTATGTAATATACAGCATTTTAAATTGATACAAATTTCATAAATTTAAAAACTTGTTGTTTTATTTTTGATTTTACTATTTGTACTTTTATATTTTTATTTAATGAATAAATCATATACATTAAATATTATTTCGTATTGAAAAAATAAACTAAATATAAACAATATCGAGATAGTAATCCATTTATATTTTCTCTTTTCACTAAAATTAAATTCTTCTATTCTATGAATAAAAAGTATAAATAAAAAAATAACAAGTTTAATTTGGTTTTTTAAAATCATATGGGTGTCTTTATATAGAAATTCTCAAATTCAAAACATTAACTATTATTTGGGTCAATAATCAAAATATAATAACTTGCAGTCTAATATATTATTAACCAAGAGGCACTGCAAAATCTGCTAATTGGAAGAGTGTAAGAAAGGTCTACAATTTTTTTTTTTACTCAACGAAGAAAATTTCGTGAGTCCAAATCTGAATGAGTCATAACAAAGGGGTGCGTATGTGTTTCTCTCGCAATGTTACGTAATTAAGTGGATTTTGTTTGCGCCCCTTTTAAAACATTGTTTGATCACGGCTAATGAATTAACGGACAAGGGAATTTAATTGTTTAACTATTTACATACAAATAAAACTTCGGGCATATAACGCTAGATTGCTACGTTTGTTTTTTTAATTAAATTTTAGGGTGTACAAATTAAAAAAATTACTAAACTCTTCTAAAAAAAGATCAGAACGGCAGGCTTATTGTATACAAGTTATAATAGTGTTAATCGTACATATTAACTTACCAAATAAACAATACAGGTGGAGTTATTTTAATGGTCTGTGAGACATCTATGTTCCTACTCTGTTTTTTGGATAACTAACTTCAAAGTTAAAAAAAATTGTCATTACTTCTACTTCTACAATACCTTTTTGTGTGTTTGTGAGTGTAGTTTTGCTTATAATATATGTTTGTCTACTCTAGAGTCTTTTCGCAGTAAATGGAAGGATTGATTTAGATCTATTTGGCCTTCTCAAAAGAAAGTGTAAGCTGAAATAAGAAGATAATAATCGTCTTCCAAAAATAGACGTGACTAACATACGGCTGTCTATATATACATTTTACTTATAGTTAAGTATTGATTAAATCAAGATGAATGTTGTATTTATAATCTTTCACTTATAACTTCTTACAATCAAATCTTAATAATTAATTTCTGTCAAGTTGAAATAAAGAATTAATAAATGTGACCAAATAAATTATAACTGTTAGATTGAAAGAAATTAACGATTAAGATTTGGTTATAAGAAATTATAAGCGAAAAGAGATTAAAGATATAACCTCCTTCTTGAATTAAATAAAATAAAGTACTGTTTAAATTAATTCTTAACAATTATGAGTGTCAAATATTATTATAAAACACTGAATCATGAGCAACTCAGTACAATAGTGTACTGGTTGTTATAGCCTTATAAGAACTCTACGAGGCATTAAGAGTATGTTTTGTGCGACGTATAAGACATAATAGTACAAGCTTATATTATATATTATAATATTTTCAGTTGTTTGGTGTGATCATTATATTGTATAAACTTATACAATATAATCCCTTAATATATCAAAATGATGTATAACTTAATCAGGCTTGCAGAGGTGGGATTAGACCTGATAAAGTTTTGATGTATTAGTTCCATATCTTTCTTCCCTTTTTACCCTTCTCTTACCCATTCACGTTCGACCCTCACTTCTCTTCTCCCTCTGCCACCATCAGCCTTCTGCTATCACCAGAGCAGCATTGCCACCGTCGTAGCCGTTAACGTTGTCATCCCTTTCTTTTCTGCACTTTCAATTCAAAAAATAATAATTCAACTACCCCCTTCACTCCTCGCAAACCCATTTTGTTTCAACCCCACAAACCCTTTTTCCTGATTCAACTCTCGATGACCTCTTATTCTTCCTCCACGTGTCTCTTACCGTGCTTTAATTTCTGGGTTTTCCAAGTCCCATCGAGAACAAGAAGAACTGTACCTCTTCTTCCAGATGACAAGTTCCTCTATTGACCCCCAATGAATACACCTTTATTGCTGTTTTAACTGCTTGCATTCGAATTTTGCATCATCAATCGGGTCTTCAGATACATGGACGATAATCAAAAACGAGAATTTGGACTCTGTTTTTGTTGCAAAAGCGTTGATGTGTTTGTATACGAAGTGTGAGTATTACCAAGTTATGCTTAAACTATTTGATGAAATGTGCCAGAGAGATATTCCTTTTTATGCTAGCTAAGTTTGAATCCGTTCTCACTGCATTAGAAGATGCTGTTAACAATAACCCCTAGAGCAACCAGAGTTTCTTGGCGTATTTTTGCAAAAGTCATAACAGGGAGTGTAGTCACATTGAAAGAGATTGGGAAGTTAATACATGATGGTGGAGAGGAACCTGGTAGTTTCTTAAAAGCTGGACTTGCAAGTGATGTTCTTGGAAGCATTTTGGAGGTAATAAAATCTGAGAAGGGTGATGTGGTTCTAAATGAGATTCAGAAATTTTACGTAGAATTTTTTTCTCTGTGAGATGGGTTGGATAGAATTTTATATATGGAATTTCTTTGTCTTGGTATTATTTCTCTGACATCTTCACTGCAATTGTAGAAGGTTCAATTGAGCATAAGAAATTTTAGGCTGAATTATTATGTTTGCTTGATGATGGCCTCTGCTTAATTTCTTTATAGATGTTAAAAGTTTCAACGAGCAGCGAGAATCTTTTCATCTTGTTCTTTATTTACTGCACTTATGATCGAGATCCATTTTGTGCGGTCAATGCTGTCAAGTTACTCCATATTTTTTAAGTTGTCCTATCGTAATGTATGCATTTTTTGTTGGTGTTTCCAAATCATCCAAAAGCATGAAGTTGTTCCATATAAATATTTACAATAATTATATAAATTTGTTATTAAAGGGTATTTTTGTCAAAAATATTTATTTTTATCCTATCTAGTATTATACTGTGCATTACCAAATACTGGATAATATTATCTTATACAGTACATTATCTTATATAATGTCATGCCAAACACTTGATAGTATTAAAATTTAATCAGATCTTATACAATCAGACCTTATACTATCAGGTTTTATACTATCAGGCCTTATCCTATCATGTGCATCAAACATGCTCTGTGGGCCTGTTTGATATGATGTATAAGGCCTGATAGTATAAGCTTATACTATACGTTATGACATTTTAGTTATTTGGTGTGACCATTGTAAAGTATAAGCTTATACAGTAGAATTCCTTAATACATCAAAATGATGTATAACTTAATCAGGTCTAGGAGGGTAGGATTATGTGGGGTTGATGTATTAACTAATGCAATTCTCAAGAATTAACATGTTATTTTAATTTTTATATATTAAAATAAATAATAATTTTTCAATATGTAAATTTTTAAAATATTGGATATTTCTTTTTTTAAAAAAATTAATATATTTTTTGGACACACTATCAACATATTTTTATAAAAATTAATCTCGTATGATATATTTGAAAGAATTATATAAATTCATTATTGAAAGATATTTTTGTCAATTTTTTTTTTCTATCTAGTATTATATAGTGCATTACCAAACATTGGTGATATTATCTTATACAATATCATGTCAAACGCTAGATAATATTAAAATTTAATTAAATCTTATACTATGAGACCTTATCTTATATTATGTACCAAACATACCCCAAGTATTTATTTTCTGTAAGTCCAATGTAGAAGGAACAACGAACCATAGCAAAGGAGGTTAGCGGCCTCGTGGAATGTCTTGCGGTGAAATTCATTTTGGAAGGCCAAGCCCAAAAGAGGAAGGAAGAACAGGTGAAAGCAGATCATTTGGGCCTAAAATAGAAATAGGGTCCTTCAATTTGGGTCTTCAAAGCCTATTATCTCCTTGGACAGACCACGTTAAGATTTTTTCTTTTTCTTTTTTATAATTTTGGGCCCAAAGAGAAGGGCAATTTGGGTATTTAAGAAATATCCAAGCAGATAAACAAATTAGAGATAGGGAAGAGAGGTGAGAAGGTGATAGATAGCGTAGAGAGAGAGAGAGAGAGAGAGAAGGATGTCGGTGTCAGCGATATTTGGGTCTCCGGTGGCGATGGTGGCTCCTTCATTGGGAAAGAGTTCAATTGGAAGGAGAAGTGAGGTTGGATTAGGATTAGGATCAGGATTAGTGATAGAGTGTTCGTCGAGGCCACAGAAGAAGGCGACGGCGCATCACATGAAGACAAGGCCACGGAAGTCGCAGCCATGGGATATAAATCGGAAGCCCACAGTGTACCCACCGTTGCCTCCACTACCTCCTGATTGGACTCTCGTTATTTCCGCTGATGAATCTCCTGTTCCCGTTCCCACTGCTGCTTCTTCTTCTGCTGCTCCCTCTCCCTAGTCTATTGGTACTGACGACGTCTTATCTTTTTAATTTCTGTTTTGTTGAAGCCTTATATGATATGATGCTGATGCTCTGCTAGCTACTCTTTCCCTCTTTCGCTTTCATTCAAAAATGATTTGTGCTAGCTGATGATGCCTCGCGACTTTCTTATATTTGAAAATATTTTTGTTGAAAATTTGGTGCTGCTTTAGTACTTTTTTTTTTTTTAATCTTTAAAAGTTAAATTAAACTTGGATCTGGGAAGCACCAATGGAGTGTGATAAGGGCCACTTTAACACTAAATCTCAAGGAATCTGGTGAGATTAAATTAATTATTTTATATTAAATCATGGATATAACACAAATTTATTATTGGTCTATCTTATAATGTACAAGTTCATTTTTTGTGTTTTTTTTAATTTTATTAAAAATTAGGACGGTGATGATGGAAGTCGTGAACTCGTTGTTAATAACTGATACTGTGATAAAAATCACTTCAATCCAAAATATGCTAAATTAATTATTTTATATCTATGCACGTAATGTCATTGAACGGAACTCGCACCAACGAGCATGTAATCAGTATAATAATAATAAGAATAATTGAAGTATCTAGTTGTGGTTTAGTGATTAATAATATACGTATTCTTCGTTAGGACACAGATTTGAACCGTGCACGGAATTGTCCTCAAAAATTTAAAATAAAAATTCAAGAACCAGTTTTAACCCAAAAAAATGGTGTTGCTTTAATATCAAGTTAATCCAATTTAGAGCCAATTCTGCGATATCTTCAGACCGCTTCATTGCTTATTGAGTGAATTGACTTAACTCAGTTGATTGCTATCTTTAATGTTCAAAATAATTATCAAATTCGTATTAGCCATGTTTTTACCATACTTGTGGATATTTTTTTACCTTTGTTTTTTTTTTCAATTTTTATTTATAACAATATCAATAATATAATAATAAAATATGATAATAATAATTCATTAACTAATGTTGATATTTAGAATGCTAACATCTATTTCAATTGAATAATTTGTTTTTATTATAATTTTATATATATTACAATTGAGATATATTTTATAGAAATTTATCACATTTTCATGTCTGTGTAGCATTATATTCGCCAGTCCAATGCGACATCTGTGCTTCTTAGATTTAGATAGTCTCAAATAATAAATTGAAAGGCTCTGTATTTGCTTGCCTAATTTTGTATGCTTTTCAATGAATCGCATTCTTGATTTATTTTTATGACTGGGGACGGGGAATACGCTAAAAATTGTGATTACAATACAGTTATAATTACGAACAAGAGTAGAACAATCACTCAATTAGAGTTTTGAACAGTATTATTAAATCTGGCTCAATCCAGCCGGGTTGACCAGTGAATCACTGACTTAAATTTGAGTTAGCCAACAAACTGACCATGCAATCGACTCACTGAGAATCAGTTTGACTTAGTCGGTTTTTGATAAAAAAGGTGACGCGGACGGTTTTTGTTAATTTCGTTGGGTCATGAATACTTTTTTTTTAAAAATTAAAGCAAAATGATGTTGTTTTTTAAGAAATGATCAAATGCAAAATCCCTAAATTGTAATGTATCATTTTCAATTCACATGTATACATATCAATCACACAAAAAATAAAACACTATTCAATATTTAAACTTCAAAAGGGTGAAATTGAAATGAAAAGTAAAAATGCTAAGTAAGTTGGATTGTAATTTGAAGGGACATTGACTAATGTGCCATTTTTTAAATTTTTTTTTTTTTGTCAAAATGTCACATAAGTAAGAAATTTTGACAAAATGCCACGACTCTAAACTCACTAACAGTTGTAACATGTATGGTTTACCAGGTGACACATTTTTTAAGGTCATCAAAGTTGTTGTCATTGGCAGCGCAATTAGACTAAACTTGTTGCCATTGACAACGACTTTGTTTATTCAACGTAACTTTTTGATATTTATGTGCTGGCAAATCCTAGAGGGGATTTGATCAAAAAATGCTTTCTTATACCCTGTTTGACATTTTATTTCTATGAATAGAGGTGACAAAATGCGTTTGGTTCGGTGGGATGAACTGAGTTTTTCAACTCATTAGCCCGCCAAACCCCCCTCCCCCCTTTTTTTTTTTCCAATTCTCTCCCTTGATTGCCCAACCAAGGGCAAAGAAGGCATCACAAGCAAGAATGACAATGCCCCAAGCGTGAGAGTACCATTTGTTTGACTGTCTAATGGCATACCTCCATTGATCTCTCAGACTTGTGGCATCAGGAATCTCTGTTTTTGGTGGGTTTATATGCGTCTTCTCGCCTCTAAATTATCACTAGGAACCCCACATGAAGGAGAAGAAGAAGAACAAGGTGGAACAGAGTAATGGGTTTTGGGGTTACTCTTAGTCACGGTGGTGGTACAAGTAGCTTAGTTCAGATTGCTTTGAGTTGACAACATAACTTTACAAAATTATATATATTGAAAAATTGATTCTTATCTGTATAAAATTTTAGGTAAAAACTTATTTCATAAATGACAATTTCAAGTAAAACTAGTTTTAAAATATTTTATCTCAGAGTCGATATTTTTAAGTTCATCTTATTCTTTATTCACTTTCTTGCTTTTCCCTTCTCTCTTGTATAGATTATTAAGAAAATTAACAAAAAATTACAACATAAAAAGTGCACTAGTGTAATAAAATAAAATATATATGAAAGAAAATGCAACAACACCTCAAACTGAATAAAACGTTAAAATTATAATTAAATAATAAAAAAAGGAAAAAAAGAAATAAAGGAAACTTTTTAAAAAGAATATATGAGGGCCGGCGGGGCGGGCTTATAGGTGGCAAGGCGGGATGTGTTTCTCAGCCCACTATTAAAAGCGAGGCGAAAGACCCGCTTTGCCACCTCTATCTGTGAATGACGTTATTTAATTACTATTTTTATTTTCGTTTTTCAACACTACGAAATAATCCTTCCAGTGCATTGATCTAAAAAATTTACGTGGAATTTAAAAAAAAAATACCTGAGCCATAAGTTATGGCTTTTCGAAAATGAGTTGACTTGTTTTGCCACATGGTAGTCTATACTCGCTGCCACTGTCAACGAGTTTGTCTTCTTCTTCTTCCGTATGGCAGTTGAAACTCACTACAACTATGAGCGAGTTTGGAGTCATGTCATTTTGACAAAATTTCTGACCCCTGCGGCATTCCAAGAATTTTTTTTCCAAAAAAATGCACATTGGTCAATGTCCCTAATTTGAAAGCATAAGAGATAAGGGGAAGAGTATAACATCCTCTATAATTGGCTAGCATGGAGGATATCGCATTGCTTCTTAAATTATATTTTAAAAAAAAGAACGAGAATTATACTGAGATTCTAACGCAGCGGATATAAAATAAAGCATATGATAAAATAGTCTTAAAATTTAATTATAGATATGACTGAGTCAAATACATTAATTTCTTTTCTGTAAACTATTTTATATCAAGTAGGAACTTTAACTAAACTTGTATACACGATATTTATGAACTCTGTATTGTCCTCATAATCTTTAATCATGATACTTAATCTTACTCCAATGCTACACATAATGGCATGTTTACTCTCTATAAAGGTTAGCATAAAAACAAATGCACTTGAGATAAATCTCAGTAATATTGAGGTTTCCAATATCTATATATCTGGCGCTTTCAACACCACCCCCACACACATCGTGGCGCTAAAAGCGCCGCACTATTTATTCTTTTCCTTCTTTGGCATTACTGGCGCCAACCATATATATACCATGGCGCTTAAGGCGTCATTCTCGATACACATTGGCGCTTTGAGCGCCACTTACTTTTTCCCCCGGATATTACAAAGAGTTAATTTAAAATTTGAAAGTGATATTAATATTTTTTTAATTATGATCTTAGGATAATTACAAAGATACAAGAGTTCTATTATTATGAACAACAAGTAAATGCCCATCTAGTAAACTGACCATTTGAGGAGGAGACTGGTTGAAGATGACGATATTATCTTCTATGCCAAGACCTTCTTTTGCAAACTAGTTCGCACATTTGTTGTGAGACATAATTTTGGATAATTATGAATATACATAATTATGAATTTTGCTAGATAACATAAAAGTTATTATGAAGAAATTTTGAATATAAAATTAAATTTATAAACATCTATCCGGGTTATGTGATTTAATCAGTGATCCACTGGTTGAACTGATGACACAATAACTCAATATTCTAGCCAAGTCAATAATCGATTCGGATTAAATAACATTGGTTTGAATTGCGTTTCGCCGGCTTGTGCTTGTAATGGCAAAAGCACCATAGTAAGAACGTTTGGTAAAAGATTTGCTCAGTCAAAGCACGTTTGATATGTTTTACCATAGTAATGCAGTCAAACTCGTAGGTGGTAGATACAGGATCAGTCCCGTATCGATTCATTATGGGACCAATGTCCACGTCAGATTGTCTGATGTAGTCCTATCAGCTTGTCATACGACACTACCCTCCACATCAGCTTGATGACACTGAAAATGTATGGTATCAGTGCGGGACTAGTCCACCAATTAATCCATACGGGAGTAGTCATTTATCCTTCAGGTACTGGACTAGTCCTGCTTCGACACCGTACGTGTTCAATACAATTTGCTTGAATCATGACCATCCATTGTACCAAACCAACCCCAAACTATGTATATATACCCTCTTGGCTACAAAAATGGATTGCTCAGTGTCATATTCTCACCTTCGTTCTTTCTGTATTTGATATTTACGTTGTGTTTTCACTCATTATTTTAAGAGTTATGTTTATCTCATTTTACATGAGATAAACAACTCTCCTACACACACAAAAAGGGATTGAGTCCCACCACTTTTTTTTCTCTCTCCTCTTACCTGTGGGTCTCACTTATACTTTTATTTCTACAACACGAGGTAATTTTTTTTCTACAACATAAGAAAAATATATCCCTTATTTTAATCCATTTTCATTGTTTATCACTCACATTTTGTGATCTATAGTTCACTAACTCCCTCTGTAGCTTATCATGTTGCTTATCCCATCCCAATTTTGA